AAGAAGAAATACATTTGAAAGACGGCAAAGAGGGATAATATGAGAAGGGTTGGAGGGAAGAAAGAAAAAGTTGAAATGTTCTAATTACAACAGATCTCTGCAATGATCATGTGATACTTTATATATTTTTCCATTATAAGACTTTCTAGGAAGTTCCAAAATGAACAAGGTAACTTCAATGATGAACTACTAAAAATAAAATGAAAATTACCAAAAAATGAAAAGGTATTTTCTAAATTTCCTCAGTAGGCAGAAAAACCCCAGACATCTCTCCACATACAAAATCAATGTTGTCATTTATCCCCCTGATCCATTTTCCAATGCAGTACAGATGACTTATTCTGTTGCCAATAACTATCTTTTTCTGACCAGAAAATGGGGTCTGAAAAGCGTTCCAGGAAGAAGTCTAAATATGTACAAATGAGAAGCTTCCAAAAAAAAGTATGTGCAAATCTGTACAAATAGAAAAGAGTAAACACTCACACCAGGCTTTGCTCTGCAAGTCAGAGTGAAAAGAGACTGCTGAAGGAAAAAGAAATATCATCATCTCTCACTATTGATTTTTTTTTTTCCTACCATCCAAGGAAGCATAAAACTTACACTCATTTGGTGCACTCTGGCCAGCATCTTAAGACTGCTAATTTCCTCACACTGCCTACATCTTGTCTGTTAAAACTGGCATCTCACTTTTCTGTTGTTCCTTGATAGCTCTTTAGAAGCACTTAATTGAAAGCAGTGTTTTCATTTCAACCTGCACACTATCGCTTAATGCTTCCAACTAGCAGGTATTACCATTATCTATCTACATGCAGTCATTGGGGACTTAGTGAAGCAATGTAACTTTCTTCGAATCATTCCCCTGCTAGAGCTGAGATGTGAACACAGATTTAACTCTGGAATGGGAGTTCCGAATACTGCCTCTGTTTAAAGTTGGTTTCTGCAGTATGTCATATCTTGGTGTCTTGTGGAGACAAGGATTCAGCACTCAGCTTCTCAAACATTACAGATACTGATCTCTGAGAAGTCCATACTGAAAAGAGTAAAACAAAGACAAGGCAGTCATGGGTGTTTCCCAAAGCTAAACACTGTCAAAATTAGAGGACTATCCTTTAGCCCAAAGTGATTACCTTCAGACTTTATGATTATGAGATCAAACATGAATGATACCAATTTTATTTCTGGGGTGCCCCACATATCTCTGAAACCTCCCTGTTTAAAATACAAAGCTAAAAGCCATGCTTATACTTTTAAGTTTTCTTCCTCAAATACGAAAAGACTCCAGTGTTCAGTACAGCTCCACTATTTAAAAAAAAAAAAAAGAAAACCACGATGAAGCCTGGGTTGAAAACGGTCTTGGACTTACGGTTTCAGTCTAGATGATAATGAAGTGTTACTATTTCCTTGCCATATGCAACAGAAAAAGCATTTAATGCTCCCAGAGTTTTCATTATAAAGAGAAATGACAAAGTTGAACTTAGTTATACACATTCTTCTCTTTCCTTTGCTCATTTATAATAACACCTTCTGTACAAGATGAATAAAAATGTAACCCTCTGCCTTTCTCTCAAAAGTAGAGTAACTCCAACTGTTAAGTCTACTAATAGCCTCTTTTTCTCCTTAGAACTTCAATCAAAATAGACTTTAATAATCACACGGGCACATTTATTAAAACTACTGGCATAAAGTTTGAATATCAATGTGATTAAAAGCAATCTTGTACTGAGCAGCTGTTAAATAGTGAAATTTCACTTCTCCAAAATCCTTTAAAAGAAAGGATTTCCTTTTAATGGTACAAATCCCAGATGATTATATTTACTCTCTGCTACAACCTTAGCTTTCATTTAATCTTTCTTTTAAAAGCCGATCATTTCTAATGCACACGGTTCATACTCCTCAAAAGCTCACTGAGGAAACAGCTCTGGTGGCTCAAAGAGACTGGCTTGGCTCTGTGCTTTGTTTTGGGAATCTGTTTATTTGTTGATCTGAATTTTTAGTAAAGTTCGTATTTCTCAACAAAATTAGGGAAACAATGCATTGACCTGCTCATGCTCACAAGCAGGCACACATCTGGATGGCACAGGCATAGCAAGTGGCTAAGCATGTAAACTGGAGGGCTGGCAGATCCCAAGGGTACACACTTTGAGATCTTGGCGAATTAACCTTACAGTTCTGAAACTTTTCTCATCTGTAAAGGGGAGACGATGATGGTGGATGAGGCATTACAATGACAACTACACCACAAAACATACTGACCAAACTTGACCTGTTCTCACGTACATGGGAACACTGTGAGACGTGGACACCAAGAAGGATGTTCTTATGAAAAATAAGTGTCTGGGGAGTCCAACATGAACAAACTACAAAGATATGCACACATAAAAATATCAGAAGGAAGCTCATTATATGTCTGCTAACTTACAGTACAATGGAAACAGCAAGGAAAATAATAAACTGTAGGAAAGCAAAAAGAAGAGCCTACATCGTAGGCAGGTCACATGCCACAGCGACTCACACATTCCTCATTACTTCCTCTAAGACAGTTTACAAGAACGTGTCAAAAATGAGTGGAGTTCGGGTCTGAGCGGGTAGTTCTGCATGGTTTCCACAAACTGAGCCCCTGAGGGCTTGGGAATTCAGCAGAATTATACTAGGTGTTATGCATTTTAGCAAGCACAAAATCATAAAGACATGGGACCTACAAATGCAGTCTACCTTTTTTAAATCAAAATGCTTTTGCATTTAATCAAGGTTTTCAAATAAAGCCTTCTTATTCATTCCCAAGACCTCATATAAAACTTGGTCTTCTCTAAGTCAGCTAAAGGACAGAATAGGTTGTTGTGAAGAGTTTAGGAAAAAAAAAATCCTCACAACATGCTGGGCGGAGCTGGCATGGTGGGGCACACCTTTAATCCCAGCACTTGGGAGACAGAGAGTTCTGGCCAGCCTGGTCTATAGAGCAAGTGCCAGGACAGCCAAGGCCACACACAAAGACCCTGTCTTGAAAAGCAAAATAATAAAAAATCATTATATAAACAAATAAATAATGACATAGAGCTATGCAGGTGTTTCTCTCATCTATCTACTTAGCCACCTGACACATTCTCCTGGACCTTGATGTTTTCCATTAAAAAAAAAAAAAATACTCACAAAACTTTTGTCCTCTTACTCCTGCTTATTATGGGCTATTATTGCAGCTTACTAGAATCTCAGTATCACTATCACGGTAAAATCTTCCTGGAAACCAGACAATAAAAGCTCTGTTGCTCCGTGAGTTGTGAGTTGATTTAGGAAAGCAATGATAAATGACAAAAGTAGACAAGAGCTCGGGCCTGGGCAAGTGTTAAATGGTTTCCTTAAGTCACTTGTGTGGTATTGTTGTTATTGGTGTGCTAGTCAGAATAAGGTAATGTGGAAAACAAAAATAAATTTAAAAAAAGATAATTTTAAAGAAAAAGCATGGTTGGGCACGGTGGCACACACCCTTAAATCCCAGCACTCGGGATCACAGGAAAGATTTCTTGAATTCAAGGACACCCTGATTTACATAGTTCTAGACCAGTCAGTGGCATATAAGGAGACCCTGTCTAAATTTTTTTTTTTTTTAAATAAAAAAACTAGGTAAAACAAGACACCTTCTTAAGCAAAGCCTTTTCCCTCCATATATTTCCTCCTACCCATACTCCTCCAAAGGCAAACAAGCGCTTGGCTCAGCAACACTAGCTTTTCCCCCCTCCACCTAGAGAGTGTCAATCCTGTTCAGGGGTAGGGATTCCCTTCTATCAACCATGGAACTTAGGAGGTCGAGGTCAAGGTCAAGGTCAGCTGACTTCTGTGATGGACCAGAGTGTAAATAGCTGAGATCGTAAGTTGTGTGACCTTTGCTGCATACACCCCACCCTGAACATTGCTGTTCATGGTGTGGAGGGAGCAAGCACCCAGATGTAAGTATGGGAGAGCCTGTGGCCATGTCCCAACACAGTTATCCTGAGGGACACTAATATATGATTTTCACATAATTGTCATGTCACATGGGGTTTTCTTTCAATTGTTTGGCAACATAAAAAGCCATGGGCAGTATCTGACCTCAGGCTGTAGCTTGAGTAGACTATCTGTGGTGTTTAGAAGCAGGACAGAAGGCTGGTGGAAAAGTGCCTGTCTGGATCACTTGAGGTTATTTCTCCCCCGGGTGAGTGCATACGCTACAACTAAAGAGCTGCCCACAGGTGCTGTCTGTCAGCCAGGTAGCTGCTCTGATCATGGCTACCCTGATGCTCATCTCCAATGGGTGCCTCAAGTGGGGCACTCTACAGCAGATCACCTAAGCACTCCTCCTAAGTGCACTCACGTACAACTAGCCCCATGTGATTCAAAGGCAAAGAACACAGACTTCCATCCTACCTTAATAGGTTTGGTTTAAATCCCCACCTGACATGTAAGTAGACTGTAAGGAATGTCACACACAGAACATTCACACAAGGGAGATCAGAGAAATGGCAATCCTGCATGCCTCAAAACAAAGGCACAGCATACAGAAAGGCTCCATATTATATAACACAACAAGGTGAAGCCTACGCAATCAGACAAAAAAAAAGATGAAATGCTAAGATGTCTGTGATATGCTTCAAAATAATTCACCACAGGACAGAGATGAAGCAAGACAGGGCCATGACTCAGTCACTGGAGCCCTGTGATGGCTACAAAAAGGATCACCAAAATGTTTTCTTTGTTTTTCTGTATTTCAAATCATACAAAGGAAAACCTTAGGGGAGGGGACCAGATACCAGAGTCGCTGAAGAAAAATAAGGTATTTCAAGGAAAGGATTTTATGGCTGTACTATAGTGTCTTTAACAGTACTGCAAATAAACACCTATCATTTTCAGTTAACTAACCACAAACCATTTTTCCCTACTAGAAAAGAAAAAGGGTGCGTGCTGGACAGATTTTGTCAATTTGACACAAGTCATCTAAGTGGTAGGAACCTCAATTTAAGAAATGTCTGGTGCTCGCTTTGGCAGCACATATACTAAAATTGGAACGATACAGAGAAGATTAGCATGGCCCCTGTGCAAGGCTGACACGCAAATTCGTGAAGCATTCCATATTTTTAATATATGTTAGTATAACTAAAATTATACATAATCAATAAAACTTATTTTTATTAAAAAAATTAAAAAAAAGAAATGTCTAGAGAGATGTCTCAGTGGTTAAGAGCACTGAATGCTCTTGTAGAGCACCCGGGTTGTATTCCCAGCACCCACACTGTAGCTCACAACTGTCTGTAACTCCTGTTCCAGGGGATCCGACACCCTCACACAGACATACACACAGTCAAAACACCAATGTACATAAAATAAAAAGAGAAAGAAAGAAAGAAAGAAAGAAAGAAAGAAAGGAAGGAAGGAAGGAAGGAAGGAAGGAAGGAAGGAAGGAAGGAAGGAAGGAAGGAAGGAAGGAAGGAAGGAAGGAAGGAAGGAAGGAAGAACTGTCTCCATAGAGCAGGCTGTGGGCAAGCAGGGCATTTTCTTGGTGATCAATGGGGAGGGTCCAGCACATTGAGAACAGGGACATCACTGGGGCTGGTAGTACCGAGTTCTATAAAAAAACACAAGCTGAGCAAGCCATAAGGAGGAAGCATGGCCACTACATCAGATCTGCCTCCATGCTCCTGTCCTGCCTTCTTTTGACAATGAATTTTGATATGGAAGTAGAGCCAAATAAGCCCTTTCCTCCTTGAGTTGCTTTGGTCATGGTGTTGTCATAGCAACAGTAGTAGCAACCCTGACTGCTTAACAGCATCTCTGTTACTTAGACAATGACATCACCTGTCACAAGTGAGGCCATCATTCTGGGTTGCTAGACTTCTCCTTTGCCTAAACACCAGGAATAAGGGGCAGTCTATGTCTCTGCCCTTTCTGGAAAGTATAGGCAGGCACTAAATTCTGGGCAAAGCAATAGCAAGCACAGACAGCCTCTAGCCTCCCCTAGAATCAAATTACAGTGGTCCTACCCACATGCCCACTCCCACACTAAATCTGGAGTATCTTCTACCTATAGCTGCAATACAACGGAAAGTCAGTCGTTTGAGAGAGGCACTCTACAATGGCTCAGTTCAATCTTCCTAGTAGTCCCATTTATTTCATCTTTTAGCAAACGCTTACCGAGCTAAATATGCCTTCATCAACAATGTCCCTGCTCCCAGGAACGCACACAATAAAGAGCCATTACAAAACACAGATTTTCAAAACGTGGCAGAGAATAACGGAAAGCTGAGGGGGTTGGGTATCACTCAAGTGGACTTCAGTGAAGCTAGAGGTGACTTTCCAGAGCAAAGCAAAGTCTCCCAGCACTACTGTTGCTCACCATCATGACATAATCTGCTTGTAAAACTCTGCTATATAAATTAAGTATTTAGAGCCAGGCAAGGTGGCGCACACCTATATTCCCAACACTCCAAGACTCAGAGGAAGATGGATCTCTGTGAGTGGGAGACCAGCCTGGTCTACAAAACAAGTCCACAACAGCCAGAGCTACACAGAGAAACCCTATCTCAGAAAATCTAAAAATAAAAAGTTAATTAACTTTTCAGTAAGGTTATCTTAGCACACCAAAATCTACTGTGCCATCAACTAATATTGTAAGTTACAGAAGGAAGTAGTATTAAGTCAGGATGCAGATGAATACTGGGCTAATAATCACTGAAAGATGACTGACATATCGCCCTAACATTCACCAACTGTGCTAAAAGGAACACGAATATACATAATACTAAATCAGGATTAATGCTATTTCCACTTAACTTAACTGTTCCAGGCTTCTTCCATAGCATTAATTTTGGGGTATGAAAGAATTGGCTGGGCTGGAGAGATGGCTCGTAGGTTTAAGAGCACTGTCTACTCTTCCAGAGTCCTGAGTTCAATTCCCAGCAACCACATGGTGGCTCACGACCATCTATAATTAGATCTGGTGCCCTCTTCTGGCGTGCAGGTGTACATGCAGGCACAACATTGTATACATAATAAAATAAATCTTAAAAAAAAAAAAAGATTTGGTTAAAACAAGTTATAAGAGAAAAAAGAAAAAATACAAGAGCATCTAACTTTGCAGTTTTTAAGTTTGGCACTGAGAATCCAGGAAAAGCGACTACGGCCACTTGCCCTAGAGAGCAGGAATGCACATTATTTTGCATATTCTTTCTGGAGAATTCTGATCCCTGAAAGTCCATTTAAGGGTCCTAAGTTGAAAATACGATAGATAAAGAACAAATTGCAACGTCAGTTCCAACATTATTAGGAGTGGAAAGGGTCAAAAGAAGTCATTGTGCAACAAGTCATTTTATGTTATCTATTTTCATCCTCCACAATAACCTTGGGAAATGGGTATTATAATTTCCTTTCCCAAATAGGAAAAGTTATTTTCAGAGAGATGAGAGAACTCATTTCATAACCTATGTTTGCTAACTCTCTGGCTCATAATCACAAATAGAAGAATTAAAGAATCAGGTACATATTCCTAAAGATCTTCCAAATGGAGAGTTTCTCCTTCTTAGTGTTTCAATAATATGATCAATTTATCTAGATATTTCTTCTGAACTTAACTTCATTGATAGGAAGAATACATATAGATTTAATTAATTCCAAAACATGATTGTCTGGTAGAGGACAATCTTAACTAAAGACAATGGTAAGTAAGTCCTGACAATGTTAAGAGAACATACAGACCTATTTCATGGCTTTTCCTTTTAGGACTGTGTGTGGGTGGGCATGTTTGGATGCATACAATCATGTAGAGGACAGAAGTCAACCTCAGGTATCAGGTCCCCTGGACCTATCCATCTTGTTTTTTTGAGACATGGTATCTCACTAACATGGAGCAGCACATCAAATGGACTAGACTGGCTGGATAGGAAGCCCAAGAGAGACAGCTCTCTCTCCACACTTCCAGCAGCAGGATTAAAAGCATGTGCCGACACGAGTGTTTTTGGTGGAGAGTAGGTGGTTAATGTAGGTTCTAGGAATCAAATGCAAGGTCCTCACGCTTGCACGGTAAGCACTGAACCTTCCTGAACCTTTTTACAGTCACTGTAGCCTCAGTCGCTATCACACTTGTATTCGTCAGTGACACATGAAGAACTGACTGAACTAATCAGTGTTTACTCAAAATATGCACGCATAAGCTCCAGCCAACGTGACAGCTGCAGCATCTTCTACGTGGAAACAGCAACTTTAAAAAGATGGAAGCCAGGTAGAGTGTACACACCTTTGACCCCAACACTCTGGAACTCTGGAGACAGCAGCAGGAAGAGCTCTGTAAGTTACATAGTGAATTACAGAACAGCCTGAGTTATATAGGGGGACCCTGCCAAACGCAAACAACAAAATTACCCAAACCAAACTCTTAACAAACTCTTAATAGATTCACGATACAACCAGGGTCATGACCCCCTTTGGCCTAAGGTATGAGATCTTAGAGCTTTGTAGACAATCTGCTAATGACTATGTTCCCATTAGAAAATATCAAATAGAACAAAAATCAGTTCAGCCACTAAGTGTTGTTGAGCCTCAGAGATCAAGGCATTCAGAGAAACACATTCATCCTCTACAAGGGAATTACCAACAATCAGCAATGATTGTTCAGTTCAGAGACCTGAAAGCCATTTAAGAGAAACATATCCACACCAGGAATGAAAACTACGAGCAAGAGTGGATTAGGGCCTCTAAAGCTCTCCTCTAGCACTTCCTACCAGAGTTGCCACCTAGTGATTTTAATTTTCAAGCCCAGGCGGACTGCCAAGTCAACACTAAAACCGGACTAACAACTGATTTTTCCTATTGCAACATCACCAACAAGTCCTGTGCTTTCCCTCTTTCCTTTGCCCTCAAACAGCAATCCTCAAGAAAAATCAACCAATTTGCCCTATAATCTGTTCTCACTGGAAGAAAGCATAGGGTTGCCATCAGTATCACTCTTCTTGGCAACATCAACAGGCCATGCTGAAAAAGCCAAACAGACAGCTGAAAAAGTCAAAGCAGGGAAAAGGAAGAAAAGGTAAGAGCTAAAAACTTGCAGCAACCATGAGGCCAGTACAATAATGAGCCAGTTTTAGATTTAGAAATCCAGCTGCCAAAGTTCTACTTCTTGAGCCCTGAAAGAAAACTCTGCCAAAATAAACGGCTACAGGTGAGAAATCAAACTACACGGTAATATGTAAGCTCAGTACTCTGAATCCCAAACTTGACTCGAGGCCATGACCTTTCTCATTCTCACTACAGAGTGCCCAAGGTAGGCATTAGGAATCAAAAGTCGACTACTCCCAGAAAAAGGGTACCCTCAAAGACAAATCTAAGCTTTCAGATTCCTAACATGACTTTTATGGATAGGCTACCTTTAGCCATCTAACGAAAGGAGCCGTCTACCAAGTAGCTTAAGATCAGCCAATCGGTAGACTTTGATTTTACTGTTTATGGTTATCGAAACTTAGATGTTTGTGCCCTTACCTGGCAGAACCAACAATCACACAAATTCTACTGAGTGCACTCCTTGGTTGTGATGATCTACAGAAGCATCCTAAACTCTTTCTTTAATCCCACACAACGAAGGGCACAGGAAAGTAAAATACTATTTAAAGTTCAAATGCCTGTCATGGTGTTGAACACCTTTAGCCCCAGCACCCAAGAGGCAGAGGTGGGCAGAACTCTGAACCCAGCCTGATCTACAAAGAATGTTCCAAGACAGCCAAGGCTACACAGAGAAACCCTGTCTCAAAAAACCCAAAATAATGATGATGATGAAGTTCAAGATTGACCCTCGTTGCTTTAAGAAAACCTGTGTTGGTCAAGGTTTCTTCTCTACAGCACCCTCAGAGGTGTGTGGAACTACTTTCCAATGCTTAGAAGGCTGTTTCCTCCCCCGGTGTTTTCCATGACAACTAAAGGGATCTAGGTTAAATTCCCTGCCAATTTCCTATGCACATCACTTTGAAGCGCTGTTCTGGCTGCACCCAGGTTTCCAGAGGGGATCCGGGTCGCTGCCTTTAACAGAGCTCCTAGAAACCAACTTTTTCCAAATGCTCTGCCCGCCCTCTTCCAACCACTTCAGGAGCATCCTCAATGTGGCAAGCAGGGAAGGTGGGCTGAAGCAACAAGAAAACTTCCCCATGGTTGGGTACAAACTCCACCAGGGGGGCTGGACTCACCTTCCCGACAGAGCCCCATGACTTCGCGGTTTTTCCCAAACTCCTTGAAACTTTCATCCAATTCGGTCCCTAGGAGATATACACACACAGGAGGAGGGGAGAGGCAGGTCAGTGACCAGGAGTGTGACGCACGCTCACGCACGCACAGGGTAGGTGTGGGCACCTCCGCGTTCCACAACCCAGCGAACGATAGCATCTCTGACCCCCGAGGGGGCGGGTCGCAGGACACGGCGCGGGGGAGGGGAGCGGGGCTGGAGAAAAGGGGAGGCAGGGGGCGTGGGGAGCGGGGAGGCGTGGACACTCACCATCCTTCCCAGGAAGTTTGGAAGCTTCCACCCACAGATTCCACGACTGTCCCAGCATCGCTTCAGGACTGGGCAGGGGCCTGCGCTCCCCCACCGTCGCCATGGCGCCGGCCGAAGTGGTGGCGGCCCCGGGGCCGCCGTCCTCCGGCCGCGGGCGCCGCAGCGGCGGGTGCTGCCGCTGGGGCTGCAGAGGCTGTGGCTGCTGCTGCTGCTGCCGGGCGGCCGCTGCTCCGCCCGCCGCGCGGCGCGGCTCCCCCCTGACGTCATCCGCGGCCCGCTCCGACATTCTTTCCGCTCCTACAATGTAACAAAAAGGGGGAAAAGAGTGGCGCGGGGCCGCTTTTAAGGAGGCGCCGCAGAGTTCCGGCGGCGTGCGCGGCCCGCAGGCCGGTGGTGCTGACAGTCCCCGGCCCCCCCGGGCCCCGCCGCCGCCCCCGCCCGGGCGCAAAGTCCGCGGCGCCGCTGGCTTTCGCTTTCGCCTCCCGCGGCCCTCGCAGGGCGCCGGCTGCGGCCGCCACTGCGGCGCTGGCTGCCCGGCCCGGCCCGCCTCGGGAGGCCGGCACCCAGGGCCGACCCGCCGCGGCCTCAGCCCGCCCGCGCCCCCGCCCGCCGCTGCCCACCCTGCGGCCGCTCGCATCCCGGCCCGGCCGGCCGGCAGCCCCGCTCCTTCCTTCCGTCCGCGAGTCCGTCCGAGCGGCGGCGCCCGGCCGGCTCCCTTAAGCGGAGGCGCCTCCTGTCGCCTCCTCCCCCTCGCCGGTCCCTCCCTCTCTGCTCGCTCCGGCGAAGTTTGCACGTCAAGCCCCCGGAGTGGAGCCAGGGCGAAGTCGGAAACGCAGCCACCTATGGAAGAGCCGGCCGGTCGGCCCCGGCGCAGCGACGGCGGCGTCGCCGAGGCCCTCCCTCCCGAGCCTCCGGCACCGGCACTCCTCTCTGAGCTCGCGGGCGGCTGCACAGTAGCTGGAGCATGAATGGGAAGCCGCCACTGTGCGGACGCCCGGCAACTAAGGAGCCAGGGGCAGGTGTGGAAATGCCGCCCAGGTGTCTGCCTCGAGCCCCCACTGCACGGGGAGCCGTGCACGTGTACCTCCGTGCCCACAACTGAAGGTCACACTGTGTGTCCCGGGAACTTGACAGCAAGACGGTGGCCCACAAAAAATGAGTCTATCACTTTTAACTTGAATTGTTGTTTATGGCCGTCTTTCCTAGGATCGGATGAGAGAGAGCCCGTGGCTTAGGTAACATACAAAATCTGACACTGGTTGGTCAGATTTGATCACCAAATTAGGCACTAACACATAAACTTACCCCTGCCCCAATATGCACATACACAACTTTTGCTTAAGTGATGGCCTGGGAATCACCAAACAACTATAGTATTCATAGTAGTGGACCACAAGGAACCTTTAGTAAATGTTCCCATTATTCTGTTATCACAAATAATGTGAAAACTGGAGACAAAACTGAATGTAAGCATGATGTTTAACATGGCAGGAAGCAGCACTTTTCTAAGCTGTTCACGGCTCTGGTTTACAGGTGCTTTCTAGGTAGGTGAGGAGGAAGTGTGCTTTCTGTACTTGCTGTTGTTATTATTTGTTTGCTTTTTTTAATCACAAATCTCTAGTTTAAAGACAGGTGTGACCAACTTCTCTGGTTGAAGAAATGCCTAACTTACAAAAACCTTTAAAATGAAAGCAAAAGTGACTAAGGAATATTTCCATAATATATTAAAATCAGGACTCAGTGAAAGGATGTGATTTAGATACACGTTTAAAATCTTAAACTGGGTGTGGTGGTAAGTACCCACAGTCCCCAGTTACTTGGGTGGCTGAAGAAAGAGTATCTGCAACACAGTAGTGCAGACAAGGGTGGGATACACAATAACTTGTCTTAAATAAATAAAGCATAAACACAATGTTTGTTAGGCACATTTAGAAATTAATGTGTAGCTCCCCACCCCCTGGATTGCACACAAATAAGTCCAAAAAGGGGCAGTTGCTCCATGAACCCTCAGGCTCTATACCTACTCTTTCAACTAACTGAAGGTTGGAAATAGACTTTTTATATTTTACATGTAAATATTTTTTTTAATTTCCCTAAATACAATGGAACAACTATTTACACAGAATTTACATTTTATGCGAGTATTGTGCAGAAATGATTTGATGTATATAGAAAGATGTGTGTGGGTTATGTGCCATTTTACATAAGGGTCTTGAGCATTAATTTGGGTATGGGAGGGTCTGGAATACCAAGGGATGGATGTAATAAAAACTGATTGAGATGACTGGAAGATTTTTAAATTTAAAAATGAATTTCTGTATGTTTTAACTTCCTATATGACTATCAGTGAGCAAAATGCAAGGTTAAAACACACATTACCATTACAAATTGACATCGTTTATGTGTCTCCAATGCAAATTTTCAAATTTTTCATTAATCCTGAATCACTGAAACATATGCATAAATGTTTCCCAAGATACAATATATACAATTTATTTATTACTCTGAGTTTTGTTATCTTTCATTTAAGATAAATTAAAATTTGAATTCTACCGGTCCTTGGGACTGCTCAGTTAAAACTTAGAAGCATAACCTTTGAGATAGCAAAACCACAGAAAACCATTTGGATAGCACAAGGAGCTTGTATATGTTGAGTACAGATATTCTGATTGCTGGAAGTATAGAGTGAGAATGAAAATAAAGGACAAATGGCAAACATGAAGTATTGTCTCACTTCCTTAAACTCTGCTTGATTCTTCCGCCTTCACAATGATAATACAACTTTCACCCAATGAAGAGCAATATGTCAGTTTGAATTCTACTTGATAATTCTTTTGTTTACAAAGTTTTTAGCTAGTATAATAAAACAGAAAGAAGTTAAAATGATATACTGAATCTCAGCATCATAACAGTTATTAAAAATCACAGCTGTACACAAAGTTGTGTTATTTATAACTGGCAAAAAAGTTAAGTGTGGTGGCACATGCCTTTAATCCCCCCACTGGAGAAACAGTGGCATGTGGATCACTGTGAGTTCAAAACTAGCCTGGTCTACATAATGAGCTCCCAGCAGCCAGAGCTTCATAATAGAGAGAACGCCTCAAAAAACAAACAAAACAAAACTAACAAGAAAAGGGAGGTGGGACTCCAAAGCCAGTCTTCTTGTTGCTGGCTTGATAGTAGCTCTTCCATTCACAAATATGCAACCATCCTTGGGCAAGTTACCTAGTTTCCCAGTATGTCAGTTTCTTAATGTGTAAAACACAGATCATGCCAGCCTTCTTAGGACTACAGGAAAAGATCCTTTGAAAGCACTTAGTACCAAGCTTAAATAATGTGACTTGAATCAAACTAAACAACCCAGTCCTGAATGCAAGAGTATCTGTAGCATTGCATATCAATGACATTTACAACCAAATTAAAGAGGATGTAGAGACAAGCAGTTCCTGGCATTTCCTGGCCACGTCCTCTTTGTCTTTACCACCCATCAAAAGTCCTAATGCTTTATAGAAAAGAGATTCTGGTATTATTTACAGTTAATTTAGGTCTCCTAATTAGTAGTTTGAAGAGTTACCAATGGAAGCAAAACGGAAAAAATTCAGAGAGTAAGAAAGTGCATCTGCTATTCAAATGTTGGCAAGCTTTTTAAAGTATTCCTTCTACAAAGAACATTGTTTGTGAACAATAATAAAACAAATCCAAATATTTAGTTTTTCCTGTCAGGAAAGAAACTAACGAGCTTGTTTCTAAATATTCCACTCTCTATGCCCCCTCCCAAACTATAAAAAAATGGCCCATATAACTTACATACATTTAATATATTGTCATGATATGCAAGTGTGTCTTGTACAGAATCAATACTTCAGTACTTCTCTATACTTTAAATGCTATTTTATAATATTTGAATAAGGAAGTTATAATTTAATAAGCCGTTCCTGATTGCTTACTATATATTAGGCATCCTAGGAGGCATCTGCATAAAAAAAGCAACTTCACAGAACATATGAAAAAATTAACAATTAAGCATTTATCAAAATGCCTATGTTAAAAGCTGCTCATACAATCAGAATGTATGCAGTTTAAAAATAAGAGTGGATACCAGCACTCAGGGAAGCAGAGACAGGTGGATTTCTATGAGTTCAAGGCCAGTCTACAAATTGAGTCCAGGACAAAGTAAGGCTACACAGAGAAAACCTGTCTTGGAAAACCAAAACAACAACAACAAAAAAACATTCTTAAGATTCTAGAGCCTACACAAGCATTTTTGTTTGGGGGAAAACCAGTAGTCCCAATACAACGTTTTAATAAACCTGGAAACCAGTAACTTAAGTACATTAATGCGTGTAAATTATAGGGTTAGTTACAGATATTCTCTATTATCAACTTCAAAATCAGATTTGCTGAATTAGGAATATGTAGGCTCTTTTTTTTTTTTTTTTTTTTTTAATTCCACTAAAATTTGTAGAGCCTTGGTTATACCCTCTCTTGTTCATCTGGCCATACCTCTCTTTCTTCTGTTTTCTGGGCTCTGCTCTATATGAGGGATCTCTTAGGCCCTTCCTTAACTATTCTCTCTACTGACATATCGTGCAGCTTATCATGAACATATCAGTATTCTAGTAGAAAAAGAATGGTGAATAAACTGAATTCACCAGCTCAGTAGCCAGAATTTGCTGACAATCAAGTGCAGAATTAGAAATAATAAGAATGTTACAACAGTGAGGACCTAAAGATAATTATCTTTCTGAAGATTTAACCTATATACATATTCATTCTACAAAATGCACTGCTTACTACTCAGTTCAAAGCCTTTATTTGGTTTAATCTTTTCTGTCCACGCGCATGCATTTGCGTCTGTGTGTGTGTGTGCATTTGTGTGTGTGTAGTGGTATATTAATTATATCACCGAAACAGTCATCAGTTAGAGCTAACTGCTTAAAAGTAGAGAAAAATTTAAACCCACAATTTATAAATTATAGCATACAGGTAATTCATAAAATATAATTGATAATACCCAAATATTTCTAGATGTTTAATAGCTACCTGAAGTATAATGATAAATTTGATTTGAAATCTTTGAAGTCTTTAGGTTGAGAAATTAAAAAATTAAGCAGAGTTTAAGTAATAAAAACAAAATAGAAAACAGGCACAACATTAGCAATAAAATGAGGCCTACTGCATGGAGTTTTAGTGTACTGCCTCCTATGCAGCAAAAAGCAGAGGTTAACACACTGTTAGAAACAATTCCCTATGTCACTTTTGTACTGACAAAGCTTTCCCTGAACTGACTTGCAAATCTGCCTTCTAAAAAGCCAAGGAGTTAAGAGCACTACCACCTTCTATCCGCATGGCTCTGGGGAAATCACCCAGCCTCTCTTGTATTTGTTTCTTCAATTATAGAGGGAAAGAAAAAGATGCATTTTAGAAGAAGCACTAAGAAATCATCAGTGCAAACCATACAGCTGCTACTCTTGCCAGCACCACATCTGTCATGTGGTAAACCCCAATTTTATCCTGTCCACATTGTATTTGTAGGTGGTTTTGCTGAAGACATTTATTTAACATCAGTCCTAGCTCTCACATTTTGAGGGACTCCCCCATAGACTACAGAAAGAAACAAAAACTTATAGCATTCAAGGGTCTCTACAGACTGCCGTGCTTCAGCTCCACCACTTCTATGGATTCAGTTCCTTCCTGTCAGAATTCC